TTCCCCCCCCCCGAAAGTCAGCCGGGCTTCCGTGGCCCCCCCTCGCTGCTCGCCCGAGGAGGAGCCGCTTCCGTGGCCGAGCCCTGCGGGGAGGGGAGGTCCGTCCCTGAAAGGAAGCGAGCGCGGGGCCGGCCCGGGTGTGGCCCCCGGCCGCTCCTCCTCTCCCCCCGCCTGCCTGCCTGCCTGCCTGGGCGGCCTTGCTCCGGCCGGGACGGGAACGGAGGAAGAGGCGAGCTCGTCCCGCGAAGGCCCGGCTCGCCTTCCTCCTCCTCCTCCTCCTCCCCCGCCCCCCACCAGCAGCCCGGCCGGGGGGGGGGAGGGAGGGGACCGGCCGAAATAGCCGCGCGCCCCCCCCGCCTGGCCGCCCCCGGGGGCCGTTTGGCCCTGGAGCCCAGGCCCCGCTTTCTCCCCCCCTCCTCCCGGCAAGGGGACGGAGGGAGGCAGGGGGGTGGCCTTTGGGGACAGGGGGCCCTGCGAGGCTCGGACAGGCGGCCGTCTGGGGGCAGAGCCTGGGGAGGGAGGGAGGGAGGGAGGGGGACCTGAGCGCTTCCCTTTTTTTATTTTTTATTTTTATTTATTAAATTTATATACCGCCTTATCTCCCTTACGGGACTCAGGGTGGTGAACAGGCGATACTAAAAACCACAATAATAAATAAATAGTTTCTGTGCTAAAATCAAATTAAATAACAGGCCTGTTCTAAAAACACCTTGCGGAAGAGAACAGCCTCTTGGAGCCAAGGGTGCCTGTTGCCGGCCAGTTCCAGGGCCCGGAGGAGGCCCTGCCGAGGCCTGGACTCCAGCCCCGGAGGGGAGAGGGGAAGTGGGGCCAGCCCCACCGGCCAGAGGGAACCACTCCCAGATCCCATCCGAAGAAGCTGGCGGCCCTCTCACGGTGCCCGGCCAGCTCCGTGGGAGCAGAGGGCACTTGGGACCCTGCTGGCCTAGAACCCTGGCCCGATCCAGCTGGTCCACAGCTGGCCCAGCCCGGCCCTGTGTCCCCTGCTGACTGCACCCAATTGAACGTAGGAGTGCCCTAAAGTGGATCTCGTGACCCCCGACTCGGTTCTCAGTCCTGTTTTGATGTCTCTGTTCTGAAAATAGCGACATGGCCTGTTAAAACCAGACATCTCGTGGTGTCTGAAGCCAGATTTTTATCTCCAGCTGCTGTGCGAGTTCTGTTGCAGGTCCCTCCCACTGGTGGGATTCAAATAGGTCAACAACCGGTTCTCTCTGTGGATGCCGCTTCCGGAAGTCCGTTCTGGGCCTGCTGGGCAACAAAAAATGAGCCGCCGGTTCTGCCGAAGGGGTGCGAACCAGGCTGAATCCCACCACTGGTCCCTCCCCAGGGAGATGCATAGCGGGCAAAGGGCAGTATTGGGCATCCCCAATTGAGTCCACTACTAGCATTGCATATCTGGTACCATCTCATCCTAAGAAATGGTTGCCAAATAAGAAAGTGAGCATTTTTTCCCCTCTCTGGCCATGTGACTGAGCCACCAGCCTTTCATGTACAGTGGCTTCTTTGCCTTCAGCTCAGTCTGTTATTTGGTGCTGGCCTATGAAATCACGGCTATTCCCTGCCGGAGGGCACTGGGCCAGGGTTGAACATGTGCGGTATTTTTGCCGTGATACTGTTGGCCCGGTGGTAATTACACTTTTATTCATGGGAATACTTTTTCTCACGTAGATTCCCAAAGGCAAGGATGAGGTAATGTCAGTTTATTCTGAAGGGCCCGTGAGATGGCTTCCTTCCTCAGGATACCGTGATAGTGTCCTAAAAGGTTTGCTGTTTGCTGAACTTGCTTCTACATTTAGCTTAAGTTCTTTAGTCAGGAGGAGGAAAAACATATCTATTAAGGTAATTGTTTTCTGCCATGGTCCAAGTTCATTTAATCTTCAGTTAGTCCTGTGACTTGAGTTTTCTATTACATCCCAACAATCAAATTTCAGTTTGAGATATTACAGAAATTTAATCTGATTCAGAGTTGATCTTAAAACTGTGTTAAACCTGAGAAAAACAAAGAAATGGTGTTCTTTGTGTACTGAGATAAGTGCCTAAATTCTTTAAAAATAGTTCCTATTAGGAACTTTTAAAACAAATGTTTCTATTCGAGTTAATACACAATATTCTAAAGTACTCCGAGTTAATACATAATATTCTAAAGTATCACATTTTCTGTTTTTAATAGGTCCTCACATAATGAATTAGAAAAACATAGGTAAGTAATAACAGAATTGATAGAGGTATTAATATACACAGATGGCAATTCAGACGTGGTATTGATTGATAATTACTCATTTGCATATTGATAGAATAAAACGAATCTTTTTAATGGAAATCTGAGTTAAATTTATGCAAATTTTACTCATTTGCATATTTATGCATACCATTTATAGGTGGGTAATTTTATATGTACATATTTCATCAGGAGTTTGCAGCAAATTTGGAAGCTTTTAGGAATTTGTTTTAAAACAACTCTGTGATTTATATTTCGGTTCCAAATAAAATTACATTTAATAAATTCTGATTTCATTTTAAGGAATTGTAACTGCTTATGGACACATGACTTTTCTGGAAATAGGATTAAATGAATTTACGCAATTTTAAAAGAAGCCCACCATTAAGCTAGAAGAGAAAAACGAAAGCAACTTCCCATCCCTAGAAAGTTGAAGAAGAATTGGGTGGTCTGCCGAGATTAACAGTGTAGTACAGTGGTGGCGAACCTATGGCACGGGTGCCAGAGGCGGCACTCAGAGCCCTCTCTGTGGGCACGCGCGCCGTCGCCCCAGTCCTAGGCCTTCAGCTGGGTTTTATAAAACCTTTTCGCTTTAGGCCTCCGCCGCTGTGTGCACACACAAAAAAAAAGGTTCAGTCAGTCAGTTTCAACTTCTCGCGGGGAAAAAAAAGATCTTGCAAAGTTGGAATTGATTGATTGAACTTTTTAGACCCACCCAGTCTGCTGTTACTACTGCAGCCATGCCCACCCAATGGGCCACACCCACCCAATGGGCCACACCCACCCAGCCCCCGACGATGCATAAGTGGGTTTTGGGTGGCAGTTTGGGCACTTGGTCTCTAAAAGGTTCGCCATCACTGGTGTAGTACAACCCCTTGAAAGAGTGGAAAGCAGAGGTGGACATAAGAAACACTCTCTGCGAATGAATATAGCATTTATTTGGGGGGCCTTTTCGTGGCTGCTTTGCAGAGTGCTTTCTGCTGCCTGGGCACCTGAATGTGTAGAGACAGCCTGGAACAGATTTACAAAGCAGCAGCCTTGTAAATCTGGGGAAAGATCTGCCTTTTCTGCCCAAATGCCTCCCTTGAAGAACCTGCAGGCCCTAATTAGCAAAAAGGGGGGTTTCCACATGGCTGCCCTTTTTATGTCGTTTATTCATGTGTTACTTACCATCTTTTGTTGATCGCATTGTATAAATATAGTTTTCACATAGATAAAAAGATCAATAAAAAGCTGAAATTTTGGCTAGCTGCTGCTAAAGACTTGGAGAATTTATTAAAAAAGGAAAACTTATTTTGGCAAAAATAATGAGCTGAATAAGATGCTATAGATTCAGCTCTCAGGCCATGCCACAAAAAGATGTTAGTTTTAATGAATATACGCTAAACTATATTAAAATGGAGGAGTGCAGATTTACCACCAGCTTATCAAGTAACTTAGGAGACTAGTGCCAATGACCTAATAGCCAGCCATCAACACCCCAATCAACATCTAAAGAGCCACACACACAACAGGCACCTTATAAATGCCACACACACAATAGCCCAAAGCCCCCACACTGCCAGGGAGAACTTCCCCCTGGGGATGGGGGCTTTGGCACCAGTCCAAAAGCTCGGAAGACAAAACATCTCGTGGCAGTGAATGACCCAGATTGGATCCTCTATTAAAATTTATTATTATTATTTTTGTTTTGTCATTTTCCTTGTTTTGGAACATTTGTAGTGCTCGTTAGCTGCCCAGCGTCATTTGGCAAGCGGGTGGCAATGTGTATTAATTAAACAAATAAATAAGATATTGCAGAATGTCAGTTTCCAGAGGCTGAGAACATGGATTAAACTCTGTTTTCCAAACACCCCTTGCATGGCTCCGTTTTCAAGTATTGACTGTTTTTTGCCCACGCAGAAATTTTAAAAGGCCTCTTTTTTCTTCTTAGAAGATGCTTGAGGGAAAAGGTTGAAGTAATCCTTGATCCTTTCCTTTAGGCAGATTAGCAGTTACAAATTTCATCACTTACTCTTAATTAGAAGAGGCATAATTAGCTAATGAAGTTATTGAGTAATATGTATATTACAAATCTGAAAGAACTGTTCTAATTTCCGGTCCCACGTTTAAATTTTGTCTTTGGGATTCACCTGGTGAAGAAGCAGACCCCACAGCGTGTATCTGCTTAGCGTAAATCTCCGTGTTATACGTATTTAAAAGAAATGCTGGTAAGGGGAGAGGAGAAGGCCCGTTTCCTCTCCCTCCAGCTCACTCCCATTTCTTTGAATTGGGACTGCATCCCTGGGAATTGCATTCCGCCCTGGTGCTCTGGTGCTCATACCAGGTGTGAATGTAACACGGGCTTGCAACTTTCCAGGGATGCAGGGTAGCTCCAGAGAGAGGACAGCGCCCCCGCCTCCCCCCTCCCAGTCCTGGGAAAATAGATAGCTATTTGGAATCAGATCTGAAGCCCAGCCCTGCACGGCTTCAGGCCCTGGAGACCTGGACTGGGAAGGAAGGTGGGAAAGGGAGAAATAGCCGAGGGAAGATCCGGGAAGCAGCCATCCCTTCCGTGGATACACACTTCAGAGTCATTGGGTCCCACCCTCGCTTCATACACAGGGACGGACTCTCTTAATGACCACTGGGCCTAGATGGGCACCTGCTGTTTTCTGCATCACTGGAAACTAACCAGACTAGTCTCTGGCCTTATACCCAAGGACTTTTATCACATGAGAATTGTTACATCAGTTCACCCCAAGGCTCCAGGATGTACTGGTGAATGTAAAAACCAGGTTTCAGGATCCTATTACTGACTGTTTTTAAATCAGACAAATATATTTGCACTGGAGAAAAAACATACTTCAGTTAGGTGCTTCATTTCGCTTTAACATTAACTGAGTTGAAAGGGCAGGCAGACTTACATGGAAGGAATGGCTTTTTCTGGTTTTCCCAATAACTTGGTCTCGGGCTTTTAAAAGCTCTGATGAGCACATTTGAATGTAGCCAGGAAGGCACCCCTGTTCCCAAGCAGAGCCAGTGGAAGATTTGAGGAGCCCAAGTAATAACTTTTTAGGAGACTGCTGGGAAGATGGGGACCGTATCTCAGCTTTTCTGTTTCCAGCCAATAGGGGTTTTTTTATTTTTTACCAATAAACTCTTTGTTTGCATGCTCCATCTTTTGTTGCAAGTGAGAAAATAAACATGCTGATGGATTCCTGCATTATTTTGCGTTGTTCTAAATGGCAAATTGTTTCTCCTCCCTCCAAACGGAACTCTTTGGGCTTTGGTGAATGAAAAGAGCACTGTGCCCAAAAAAAATCATAGCTCAGTGAAAATACTGATTCAGTCAGTGAGGAAAGAAAATTCCCATTAGGAAAAGGCTGAACACTAAATGAATTAATACAACGTTTATGATAGAATAGTGCCCACATTTCAGTTCACTGTGGCACACCTCAGCTGTCCTTTGTAGATCCTGGAAAGCTGTGGAACAGCTGAGCCAAAACTATCCAAAGACCAGATTTTGACTGGAGATGGAGGGAAGCAAGTAAGAGATCTAATAGGATGCCTAGTTTGGAGGAAAGGTTGGAGATCCCGTTATTTTTATTTTCTGTGCCTCAAAGAGAATATTGCTAAAAGTTAGAAAAACAGAAATAAAAGGAGGAACTTTGTGTATCAGTAATTAAAATTATGGAATGAGTTTCTTGATATTGCTTAGGATGTCGTTCATTTGGGTGCTTTAAGAGCCTGTTGGAAGAAAGAAATAGCGGATCGCTTCCAAGAAAACTGCAGGGATCCCATCACCAGGAATCGTGCTTGGCCCAGGGGTGTCTTTGATTGTCGGCTTGGCCTTCAGTGTCGACAGACCGTATCCTGATACCACACTGTAACAGTGTGGTGTGCTTGGATTGATACACTGTGTTGTGTGGATCTTACTCTGGGCTTATAGTTTTAACATATTTGGTGACTTGAACACGCAAGGTGTGTTCAGGGCCCCTTTAGTGCCCAGTCAGCCTCTGATGCGTCACCTCGGATATTGGAGGAGATCTCTTGCGCGTAGTAGCTGTGAGGCATAAATGCTGGCGAAATATAACTTATTTGCAATTAACATAGTGTGGAAAGTAGGGCAGATTTTGAATGCTAATGACACTAAAGCAAATTTCTAACTTTCGATCGTTCCAGGCGAGCGAAACTACGGCTCTATTTAGAAGAGTTAAAACAGCTGGTCCCTTTAGGAGCCGAGAGCACGAGGCACACCACCCTCAGCCTGCTGAAAAGAGCCAAGGTACACATCAAGGTAAATCAGAAAGAGGCCTAAATCATTGTGGGAAACACCTGCTTTATAGCCTTTGGGAGGGACCCGGTCCGCTGGAGCCGCCCGCTACTCAGAGTACTGTGAAATGCTGGTAGGATCACCTTTTTACACACCCTTTTTGTGTCCAGGGCAGAGGCTGGATAGGGCCTCGCAGGAGAGTATATAAGAAGAGGTTTTAACTCCAGCCTTGACTACTGGTCTCCTTTGTTTCTTCTGATCGTTTCAGACTTTGGCTCAAATTATAATTTTTTTCCAACTTCGAAAAATGTTGCTGAAATAGCTCGGGAATTGCACGATCTCATTTATAAGCCGGTCTTGAAGTTTTTTTTTAAAAACTTCTCAGTTCCCCCAAATTCTCCGGAGACTTTATGCTACGGCTGCCCATACCCTTCAGGAACGGGCAAAGCGTTGCCCTGCCACCACAAAAGCCGAGGCTTGTGCCGTTGGGGCCCCAAACACACCCAAGTAAGTCTCACAAAAGAAGCCCTCTGGGGCCGCCCTGTGCTTCACCGCCTAGGGCAGGGGTAGGCAACCTTGGCTCTTTTGTGCTGGCTCAGGAATTCTGGGAGTTGAAGTCCACGAGTCACAAAAGAGCCAAGGTTGCCTACCCCTGCCCTAGGGGCTATCAGTGCAGCGTGCGCCCACAACTTGGAGTATATAAAATGGGAAGAAGTTACATTTTAAAATATATACGTTCTTGCTTTCCTTAGCCACAAATGAACAGGGAGACTTCTAGATAATGGCTTTGATATCTAGGAAACAAAAGCATCTCCCCCCCCCCTTTTGTTTTTTGTTTTTGCTTAACGTAACATGCCTGCCAGATCACTGTGGCTTATTTCAAGTGGTTTTAAAAACCCTTGATTTACAGCTAGAGGTGGACTCAGCCCGCGAATTACCTGCCCTTGTCTGAATTACATGTAACCAGACCTCCAGTGCAGAACATCTACAGGAGGGCCTGATACTCCCATAGAGAAGAATTGGCAGGAAGAGTCGAAGACTCCCTGGAGTCCAAAGTTATGTTTACCTTAGTGGGGACGGAGGTGAGGCCAAAGGTAGCTGAAAGAGAGAGGATTAAGGGCTCATGTTTCACCTGGTTCTCCTCCGGCGCAAATGGATTTACGTGGACGTTGCAGCAGAGGCTGCGCAGGCCTCGGACGCCCCTGCGCCATTCGGAAACACCCATTTTAACTAACAGGAAAAGGGTTCTGAGTTACA